GATGGCAATCGTGCGGACATAAACTCAATTGGTCTATAACCATTGTTGTCGTTCTGTTGAAGGATTGCGCCGATCCCATACTGACTTGCATCTCAGTAGTAACGATAAAGGGAAAGACATCTCGTCGGCAATGCCAGGGTGCCATGGAAACGGTCTCGGACTTCTTTGGGTTTATTTTAAAGCATACTCAGACTTCAACCATGGCTTCCCGTCGGCAATGCCAGGGTGCCATGGAAACGGTCTCGGTTTCTTCCCTGTTCCACTTCTAGGTGGTCCTCCCTTATTAGCCACAACAGCAGTGACTTCCCCCTTCTCGGAGTCACTGTTGTTATCCTTATCTTTTAATGGCCTCTTCTCCACTGTGTCGTCGTCAAAGACGACAAGGGTGTGGTCCTGGCACTTCTGTCGCCAGAGGATTCGTTTTCCATTGTACGGCCTTCCTCCTCCTCCTCCTCCAGACTTAACTACGACTGCATAGGAGTTTTTGACTTGTGAAGTCATTTGCTCCCTTTGCAGAGCAAGGTCGCAAAATTGCCTATAGTTGTACTTACCTGACTTTGCCTCGGCCACCAGGTGTCCCCGGATGGGCTCAGGCAATGCACGGGAGTACATGTACAGCACTTGGCTGTCCCGCAAGTTCAATCCTGGAACCTGCAGCAATCGATCGACTTCATGGGACAAAGCCTCGACCGATGTCCAATGCTTTTGACCAATCGATGTTAATTGGTCAAACGCTTTATCGGTCGTCGTCTTATCGAGAAAACGGTCCTTGATCTTTGGCAAGAACTGTTTCAACGTCAAGGTCTTTGCCCATTCGCCGATGTCTTCGAACCCCACGGCATTGGCCTCGGCCAACACCCATTGTTTGGCCTCACCACCCATGCAAGAGGTAGTGAACGCAATTTGGGACTCCGGCTCGACCGGAGCGGTGCTCACATACGTTTGGATTTCAGCAATCAAAAGCAACAGGCTTTCGTCTTTCTTGTTACTAAACGTAAAAGGCAATTTCATTTTTATTTTCTCTTTCTTCTTTGGCTTCTAGGATTCTGCGCTTGTCTTACCCAGAGTTGTTGAAGGAGGAGACTTGGGAGAAGGAGACGAATGAGAAGAGTGAGATGGAGAGGATGGTGGACTTGGTGGTCCATTCCCATTGGATGTCGTCTGAATTGTGGGACCAGCAGACTTCATAGCATCTCCCATCGACTTTCTCACTTCTTTCTTGTCTTCTTTTTCTTCTTGTTTTTCCTCACCTTCTAACTGGTTCTTTCCTTTCACAATGTTTGCGATTGTTCGCAATCCTACAACAATCTCATCTAATTGAGTTTGCTGCCTGTCAATTTTCTCTTCCAGAAAGGTAAGGTATGTCACAATATGAGACAATGTATGTAACATGTCTGTCTGTTCTCCAACTTCTGTTCCAATTACCTGTTTGATTTCTTTACTTTTTGTCCTCTTCTTTGTTCCTGTTCCTTTCTTCTGGTCAGTTCTTCTTTCTTCCTTTCTTCTGCGGCCAACGTTTCTCTCAACTGTTGAATGTTTGCATCAATCGTAGCCTCACTGACTTCTGGTTTTGTTTCACCTTGACAAGTCAACTCCACTAGTTCATCCAGTTGCTTCAAGGCAAACTGCTCCAGCTCATGACGACACTGGGCAATCGGTTTGGAGACTTCATTCCCGGCTGCCATAACCTCCACAGTCGTGATAGATTTCTTCAACCGTCTGCAAATCAAAGCTATCACGGATGTGTTGCTCAGCATCCGGTCCAGACAAATGTATTTCGAACAACAACTGGTTCCACCAGGCCAACAATTCTTGTTTCTTATTCTCAGCTTGCCTTCGAGTCTTAAGCTCGGACGTTCCTTCGCCCACGGAGAGCGTAATCGGAATATGAAACAGAAATGTGGTCACAAACCTCGTCATAATAGACTTTTGCAAACATTTCCAGAAGTGAGTCATTTTCGAAGGACTGAAACAGGAAAATTCGTCGGCCAGGTTGTTCTACCACAAAAATAAATAAAAGAGACAATAAAAGAGACAATAAAAGCGACAATAAAAGAGACAAAAAGTTTTAATAACAAGGAACAAAAAATTTACTAATTCTAATTGCTGTTCTATTTTCAATGTGATGACGTTCTATTCTATTTCAGGTACCGCGACTCAGGCCAGCATGATCATCAACACACACAAGTAAGTACACAGGCACACAACACAGCACAAGACAACAGGTAAGCCCGCCAACAATAACACAACAATAGTTAGCGTTCTTCCCTTGCTGCTGCTTCTTCTTCAGTCCTGTGTGATCAGCACCCAATCTGACGTTTGGCACCACAGCCACGTCAGTCTTCTAGCCGTGCCGCTTCGGTCATCAGAATGCAACTCTTACTTAAGCACAACCGTGTCTGCCACGTGTCACCCCTGGCATGCCAACTCAGCAACTCGAAGAGTATGCCAGGTCAGCATGTCCAATCATAGTCATCAATGGGGTGCACGTCAACAATGTGCGTTGACGTCGTCGAAGTCACCTTCCTTCCTGCCACGTGTATCCCCTAGTGTGCCAACACAGCAGCACTTAAGTCTGCCACGTCAGCACTATGGTCCAGTCAGCAACATCAGTGGAATACACATCACGAACGGTACCAGCACGTCGTACAATGCCACGTAAGCCAGGTAATGGAGTGCCACGTCAGACAATGCCACGTCAGCCCGAAGCTTCTCACCACAGTAAACGAGTGGTGAGTCAGCAATTAACAGACACCGGCCACGTCAGCAGTGCCGTCCCGATCGCAAATGCGGTCAATCGGGATCTGGATCGCAGTGCGATCCTGCTGGTCTTCCCTTGTCGAGATACCAATGCCACGTCAACACCTGACGTGCGCTGTCCCTCTCTTGTCCACGTCACCACTTCCACCGTCGTCATACAAGTCGTCGTTGTTCGTCACAACATCGGAAGTATAGCTCCAATACCAAATTGCAATGAACCCAGATCGTGAAGACACTTGTCAACAATGCCAGCCCGTATAGATATCAACCTGCTGATGAATGTTAAGTAATCGTAATTGTGTCCAGATAAAATGAGATGGGAAATCATACACAGATGAAGGAGAGAGAGGGGAGAATAGACTGAGAGGGGAGAAATCAACAATGCCCACTCCTGCTTCAGGCTCCCTCCTCTCTCGCCACCTCAATAATCAATAACTCGAACACAAATCTGAAGTTCTCTCTCAATGTGCCACGTGGCACGTCAACCTGTCCTCATCAACGAACTGGAGAATGTCGACATCAAGATACCAGGTACGTATCCTGTCTCTTATACACATCTAGATGTGTATAAGAGACAGGTCTTATGTAGTGTTGACGCGGGGTCTGGACCCCGGATGCTGTATCCCTCAGCCGTCCAGATCTCAATGCGAATGAGGGCCCAGATTGGCCTGAAACCGAATTCCCTCCGCCCTGGATGCTGTCCGGGTACCTGCACACAACAAGTGAGTGTATCCAACCAAGGGCCTGGGTGCGGTACCTTTGACTCTACAGTTGACTTTGACTCTTGAATTTCCTGTGTGGAGCGTTCGGTCACACAGCCACACTCGACAGACTCAGGCCTGGGCGTGTCTTGGTCACACAGCCCAGCGCAGACCAACTCAGATCTGTGTTTCCTGGGGCTGAGTTCTGAGCCCCAGGCTACTTCTGAACAGGGTTACTGCACCCCTGCCAACAACTTAAGACATTTGCAATAACTCACTGCAAATCTGCATAGCTGTGGGCTATAGGTCGTCACTTTCGGTCAAAGGGCCGAAACAGGGGTCAAAAGTCGGTTCCTAAGTCTGAGAAAAGCCTGGGCAAAGGCCTCGGGTCAAGGGGTGTCAAGGGCAGAGCCAAAAATGGCATCCAGAGGCCCTATGAGCGACACTTGACTTTGCAAAAGTCAAAGGTCAAACCCAGCACGGGATTCCAGGCCCAAAGTCAAAGTCAACCCGCTCGTCAGCCACAGCCATCAATCAGATGCACATCATTGGTTGTCTGCAGGTATCCAGACGATTCCAGTCCAAGTGGGACACATGGGAAATTAGGAACTGCGCTGCATCCAGGCAACTGGCTTCTGATTCATCTGGGCCGTCGAACCAAGGAGACCAGAGGCTGGTCAACGTGAGTCGACACTATAAAGTCGACCCAACCCTACGTGGATATCATTCAGCTTTGTGCTGGCTTCATGCTACCGTAGTACGATATTGTGAGGCTGCGGGAGATTATGTTGGCGCCAGTGCTGCTGGGTGGGCGCCAACATCAGTGGAGATTCTGCTGGAGCGGCCATTGTCGCCATAGCTGTAGATATATGCAATGACTTTTTGATTCTGCAGCCTGCAACCCGTCGACCCGAGGCTGTAACATAAATAGGATGGCTTCGCTATTAGGTTTGGCTGAGGGCTAACCGAAAGATCTGCCTGTGGGAAAATTCTTGAGGGACATATCTGTAAATTTGGGGAAAATTGCAGGCCCATACTAACTTCAATTTCCTACAGCTATCCTAACTGTGAATAGCAGACCCGGGCTACCACTAGGATAGAAGGGCCTATGGGCCTATACTGCTAGACGGTCCTATAGCCGATAGCCGGGTAGGGAGAGGCCCTGGAGGCCGAACTGAATCGGTACCGGTGAGTCCAGTCAGTCCGGTCTAGGTCGTGGGGTTCTTCTGACAAATCGAGACTCAATAAACAAATGTGGATACTGCGTCTGAACTATCTTTGCTTCATTGTTTTCTGGATGTGATCTACTTGGCTTTCCTTTGTGACTGGTTGTGAGGGTTCTGTGGAGTGAATTGCACATTCAGTGTACTCTGTCATATCGCATGGTCAAGTCTTCCGCTGTGTTTCTATCTCCCTGTGCGGTGTGATAGTTCCATCCTCTCCCCTTCCTTCTGTGTATGCATGGGCATACCTGGAAGTCTATGTGAGCAAGTGTTGGTCTTCTGACAACAAGCAACCAGGTTCATAACATACAGGTGTTGACTATCAGTGAGGCGGGGGAGGATCAAGGGTGTGAGACTGGAGAGGGGTTCGAGGGGAAGCTTACCTTGACTTACCTGACAACGTCGTGTGTGATCTGCTGCTTGTCTCCACGAAGGTGAGGAAGACCTGCTGATGTGGATGGAGGATGGGCGTCCTGCTGTGACCTGCACACTATAACTGCCAGAGAACGTCAGAGGAGAGAGACTGCATTGCTGAGGTGGCAAAAGCGAGAGATAATGCCTGAGGAGGAAGTGGCCTAGAAAAGGCTTCGTGCTTGAGTGACGGGGCTCTTGCAAGGATCAGGGTCCTCGGTAGGCTTAAGGGGCCCTGTTTGCAGCATTGCCCGTCCTAAGTGAAGGCGGAGGTGCCCGCCCTAAGTGAAGGCGGGCCTGACATATCGCAAGAGGCCCTCGACTGTCAATTTCATATTTGGGGTCCAGGCAGTTGCGACGCGCCAGTTGGTTGAGAGAAACTCAGGCCGGGCAACAAAGACATTTCCAAAGAATGCAGGCCCTGGGCGTGATTCGCAGCCTCATACAGAGACAGTTGGGCGCCCAACCGAACGAGGCCCAGCAGCCCAGTAGCTGCTGTACACAGGCAGCCTCCTGGGGCCYGCCGGAAGCTTCTGGGCCCAGGCCAGTGCAGCCAGGCTGCGCGAGCAGGCCAGCTCTTTCCATAAAGGAAAGAGCTCACCCCTGGCAGCCTCATTCAGRCACTCGCATGCTAGCGGCAGCGCTGYTGGAGCAATTGCTCGTGGGCTGCTGCTGGCGCTGAGAGGCGAGGTGCAGCACGTGCGGTYGTGCAGGGAAGCAGGGCGCTGCTGAGGGMAGCGCCATAGCCCAGCCACCATAGCTGGTGGGCTTGGACTACAGTGAGGCGCATGGGTGGTCTTCGGGTGTAAGGGAGGAAGACGTGGGTGTAAAGTCAGGGAAGGGCAAAGGATGATGATGATGATGATGATGTGAGGGCACATACTTTGTAATGGCGATGGTCTGCATTTGGGCGACATCTTCAAGTACTTCGGATTGCCGCTGATGTCAACAGTTGCATTGTCTATTAGTAGGGTGATCGTAGCTGTGTAGGAGTAGGCTGGGCGCTGAGCGCCAAGTAGGAGTGTGAAGGGACTGGACTCTCGTGNAGTTGCATTGTCTATTAGTAGGGTGATCGTAGCTGTGTAGGAGTAGGCTGGGCGCTGAGCGCCAAGTAGGAGTGTGAAGGGACTGGACTCTCGTGTTGTGGACACGGTGTTGAATCTGGCTGTGATCTTCAGCGTTGACTTGGGGCACAGGGGTGGGCCGGATTGCACACCTTTCAGACACGCTGCTCAACCAGATGCTCAGGACGTTGACACAAAGCGACAACTGAAGAAGGACACAGGGGGAGGGGGGATTCCGGTAACTGTTAGCAGTGGCAATCAACAGACAATCTGCCATCAAGCATACATCTCCAACAAGAGATGTTATTTTTATTTTTGATTATCGTAGGATCTGACACTAGTTGTTACTACATCACCTAACTGTTTCTGTCCAATCCGACCGAAGTTAGTTGTGATTCATAATCGGTTGTGTGTCAGGCTAAGGTAGGATTCAATGTGGATTCTAGTTTAGATCACACACACTGTAGCTCATGAGTGATGCAAGCACAAGTGAGGAGGAGTCGTTAGTGGACAACCGTAGGACTACTCGTGGGACTGCTCGCAGTCAACCTTTGACATTCTTGGAGTTAGGTCCAGGAGACGAGAGGAGATTGCGGAGAGAGGCTAGAGAGAGAGCAGCAGCAAGGAAACTGAGGGTGGCTGAGGATAGTGCCAGGACTAGAACTATAGCTAGCACCGGTACAACCATGGCCACTTCATCTACCATGTCGCAAACCTCTTCACAGTCCACTTCGTCAGGAGTAAGCCAGAGTGGTTCTCAGGGGTCCATTAGCCAGAGTGCTGGCTTGCGAGTCAGCCAGCAGACTCAACTCACGCCGGAGGATTATGAGATCCTCCAAGCAGAAGAACTTCAGGATGAGTTACAGCGGCAATTGGATGAGGCAGCAGAGAGGAGAAGGAGAGCAATCCTGAGAAAAGCTAGACTAGGCAGTAGAAGAGAGGAACTAGGCAGACTGGAAGCATTAGATGAGTCAACGCTTGATCCTGCGATACGAGCGCTGCGTAACTCGCTTCTTTGTGTGGCGGAAGCGCAGGCTGTCCAGCAGGAAGTGCTGGCTGAGCTAATGGCAGGCCAGAAAGAGATTCTGGCTGCAATACGGGCTCCTCGTCCCATGATGAGGCAACCACAGTATGCTGTAGTTCCCCTTCCAGGTGCAGGTCCATCAGTGACGCTGCCGCCGGTAGGGCCTCCATTCTCACCTATGTTGGGCATGCCCCCTCCAGGTGGTTTGGTAACAACTAGTGGTCCGGTTCATAGAGTCTCCGCCGTACCATCCACGACAGTGGTCACTACAGTCCCACTGTCAAGCCAGGCCCAGGTTAGTGTGCAACAGCCTGTTTCAGTGGCTATGCAGCCGCCGCAGCAAGCCCTTGGGCCCATGCAGCATATGCAACCGATGCAGTGGATGCCCAAAATACCCTTGACGAGTCCTAAGCCCTTCTCCGGCGACAGGAAGAAGGATGAGGACTTGGACATCTGGGTAAGGACGGTGCCTACTTATGTGAGGCACAAACTTACCA